CGCCTGGGTCCCCACAGGCGGTCGAGATGGACTCCGGGCGGGAAGGACTCTGAGCCTGAGAGAGGGTGCATTTCTGGATGGGACGTTCTCGGGCCGTGTCTGTCTCGGCCACAGAGCTCGACCACGCACCCGGCTGCCGGTCCTGGGACACAAATGGCGCACGTCACCCCGTCTGGTTTCCCGGAGATGCCGGAATCCTCTCCTGCTCGTGACCTGTAGCCCGGCAGCCTCCAGGGAGACGCGTCCCAGCACCTCTGCCGTGTGCGGCCATGGGCACCGGTTTGCCTTCAACAGTGTGAGCAGGAGGAGGTGGGCACGCTTGGCCTCCGGCTTCCCTGCCCCAAGGGTCACCCTGCAGCCACCTGAGCTGGCATCGCCCGGGCCCTTCCCGCCGCCCCGAGATCCACGCCCGGCACCGGCGGGAGTGCGGGGCCCAGGAGGGAGACTCCTCCAGGCAGTGGGGTTGGCTCTGCTCCCAGAGCAGCGCTGCCCCCCATCCAGACCCTCAGCTGCGAACACCTGTGCACCCGGGGACGGTTCCTGTCAGTCTCATCCGGCGCTTCGTCCCCAGGAGGGATTTGCCCCTGTGCCTGGGATGTGGCTCTTCGGCACGATAGGCTAAATTGGTGTTTTTTGGTTAAGTTGAACTACTGAGCATTTGGAAAGCCACTGACAGACGTTTTTCCAGGCACTTGCCCTGGGGTGCGCATGGGGCAGCCTCGTGGCCATGACACCCACCCGCGGGCACCCACCCACGGACACGCACCCGTGGGCACCCATCCAGGGTACCCACCCACGGACACGCACCCACGGACACGCACCCGCGGGCACCCACCCATGACACCCTGCCTGGTGCTGGGGCAGGACTGTGGGGACTTGGGAGGCGGATGCGGCAACCTCAGCTCCCCGCGGCCCCATAGCTCCCGTTGCCGATTCCTCTGACTTCGTCTGGCGAGCGGAGATGAGCCTGGGAGGAGGCCCTGGGCCAGCGGGTCTGTAGCGGCAGCAGCGCCCCGAACTCACCAGAAGTGCGGGCTCTCCCCTGGAGTCAGCTCGAGGTGGCCCAGCGACTGGATCTGACCGAGTGTGAGAAGCACCCACAGGGCCTGGCAGAGAGGGCACCAGAGACGCTGGCTGCCGGCGCCGGCCGGGCTTTAGGGATGCCGGTTTGCCCGTCTCTTCCGTTCTGAAGTCCCCCCTGGCCTCCCGCCGTCCAGGGTGGCTCATACTCAGCTGAGCGCCAGAGTCAGAGGTGGGCACCCAGGGCTGGGCTGCGTCCAAGGCGGGAACTGGCGGGTGGGCTCCCCACTGTCCGGGCCATCTGTCCACAGGGCGCCAGCACCCTCTGCCCTGTGGGTCTCCTGGGCCCATCAGCCCTTGCAGGGCGGTCGCCCCCAGCGGGCCCCCGCTGCCCTTGGCCAGGGTGCCCAGCAGGGCTCCTGGCTGGCTGAGGACCAGGCTCTGAGACAGGTCAGGTGCTGTGCGCTCTGCCCCCTTCCAGGCAGAAATGTGTCCGTGGTGCCCAGAGGCGGCTGCACCTGGAGTCACCTGGGGGCGGGTCTTTAAAAATACTGCTGCCTGGCCCCCACCCCAGTTCTGAGTCCCTTGGTCTAGGGTGGGACCCGGACACGGCCACAGGCTGTCAGCACCTCCCCAGGGGATCCCAGCAGCTTGGGAACCGAGGCCAGGACCCAGCTGGTGTTCTGAGGCTCATGGAGCAGCAGGGTCCTTGGGGGGGGGGCGCAGATCAGGGGGTCCTGGGGTGGAGGTGGAGCAGGGTCCTGGGGTGGAGGGGGGTGGGGTCCTGGGGTGGGGTGCAGCGGGGTCCTGGGGTGGGGGTGCAGCGGGATCCTGGGGTGAGGGGCGGGGGCACAGGAGGGGGTCCTGGGGTGGGGTGCAGCGGGGTCCTGGAGTGGGGGTGCAGCGGGATCCTGGGGTGAGGGGCGGGGGCACAGGAGGGGGTCCTGGGGTGGGGGTGCAGCGGGGTCCCGGGGAGAGAAAAGCTGTGTGTGAGTCCTCAGAGCCTGACAGCAGAGCCGGGGCGGGGGCGGGGGCGGGGGGGCCGGCAAGGCTGTGCGAGGTGATGTCAGACATTCCTCCGCGATGTCAGAACGGGGGAAGTGCTTGGAAATAACGTGGCTGTGAAAGTGGACTTTCTGTGAAGTGGCATTTTCTTGGAAGGAGAGGGAAGGGGGAGGGGGCCAGGCTCTGGAATAAGATTCGCTCCCAGGCCTCTGGAAAAGTGGGGAAAACAGGAAGACCAGAGAGAAGTGCAAAGGGGAGCGGGGTCTGAGTGGGCCAAGGAGGGGGTGCAGGAGGAGCTGTGCCCCTGGAGCAGCAGGGGGGCCCCAGTGTGCGCGCAGGCCGGCGGACAGCTGTCCAGCACGGCTGCCCCTCCGAAGGGCAGGGCAGTGATCACAGGCTCTGCAGGGCTCACAGAGGACGCCCCTCCTCCACCCAGCCCTGGTTCCGGGGTCCCCCTGGCTCCCTCAGGGTCAGTGTCCCAGGACTGAGCCCCAGGGAGAGCCTTGCAGACAAAGTGGCGACACCCACAGCTCCGAGTTCCTGGAGCACAGGTCACCCCTGTGCAGTCAGGACCTCCTGACGGGGGGACCACAGTCCAGGGCTGGGTGGCCCCGGAGCTCAGCTGGCCCAGCAGGGGGGCAGGCCCTGCCTTCGCTGGGAGGGGCATGGAGGGCCAGGATGGGGAGGGGGTTCAGGCACAGAACCCCCTATTCTGCAATCAGTTCTCCCCACTGGAGCTTTCTGAGAGGGTCAAGATGCACCCCATGGTCAGAATGGAGCCGCTGGGTTTGGACACTGAGGTCGAGGGCTTCAGGACGCTGCCCCCCCACCCCCGTAGGTCTGGCCCGAGGCTATTTCCAGCTGGGTTTCCTGGGGGGACCAGGGCTGGCCCCACTCAGGAACACGTGGATGGGCTTCCTCAGAGCCGGACGGCGGGACTGGGAGCCGACAACAGTCACTGCCCACGTTTTCCAGGGGGGAGAGGTCAGGCCAGCCGGGGGCCTGGGTCGGGGCTGAGAGCACCTGTGGGTGGGACCAGCTGTCCTGCAGGAGGCCACTCCCCAGGGCGTCCCTGCGAGGTCCCCGACCACTCTGAAGGTGCACACGGGGGGCAGGGCCCCTCGTCCCAGACGAGAACGGGGGAGTCACTGCAGGCAGAGGGGGCCGGGAACACTGAGCCCGGCGGGCTCCCGGAGCACCGGAGGGGTTTGAAGTCCCGTGTGACCCCCTGCGGGCTGTGGTGGCCGCTGGAGGTCAGCACGGGTCGGCCTGTCTGAGCCGGGCCCTGACCAGCCCCGAGGCTTCCGCACACGTGTTTCTGCAGAGTCCCTGGGGGACACAGTGTCACATCAGCCAGGACACACCTCGGCGCCCTCGGCCCCTGGCCAGCCAGACGCGGAGCAGCCGCGCTCAGTGGACAGACAGGCTGTCCTGTGGGAGACACGGGGATGGTCAGCTGTGGGTGCTCCGGCTCAGGGAGCTCATGGGGGCTCCTCGCACAGTCGAGCACCGTGCTGGGCCACGTGCGGGACGAGGGACCGAGAAGCAGAGTGACAGCCTTTGAGTGGACAGTCCCTCTGTCTGCGGGCCGGGCGGCGTATCCTCTGGGCGAGCCCGGGAGAGGCCCCAGGCGCCCCTGCCCGCCTGGCGCGCTCAGAGCCTCTGGCAGGCGGGAAAGGCCGCTTCTCCGGGAGCTGGAGGTGGAGCGGGGTTCTGCGGGCAGCAGGCAGACGCTGCTCTGTCCAGCCCAGCCTGGCCTCCAGGCCCCGCTCTGTGCCTCCGGGAAGCTCACCAGTTTCCCGGCCTGTTCCTGGTGCCGCTGCCAGGCTGTCCTGCCAGAGCTCAGCGGAGGCCACGGAGAACACCCCGGGCTGCCTCGGCCCAGCCGGCGCCCTGGTCCTGTCTGTCTCTGTCTCTCACACGCACGCACGCTCAGCTGTGTTGCACCACAGGTGTGCCTGCCGTGCAGGAAGTCCGAGACACGATTTTGGGGAAGCGTCAAAGCAGAGAACTCAGGGAAGCTGCCACCACGTCCTGTCCCCTTGGCTCACAGACGACAGCCTTCCCGCGGGACACTCCTCGCGGACGGCCTTGCTCACGTCCCAGCGTCTCCCCGAGCAGCCACAGGGAACCGCTCACCTGTGCTCTGCCAGGAGCATGGCGCACCAGGACAGCAACAGGAGACGGACCAGAGAGGCACCTGGGGCGGGCGGCCTGTGCGGGGGGCACGCCTGGCCCAGGTCCCGGCAGCTGGCACAGAAACAACTTGTCCCACAGGGACTCATGTCTCAACTGCACTTGGGAAAATGCGTCCTGTCTCAGGCCGTTAGTGGAGCGGGGGAGGCAGCTGAGGTCTGTGCAGGACACGGGACGGGACCGTGAGCTGATGCAATGTGCTCGTCCGTCCCCACGCCGTCCTCCGCAGCCTCCGGCTCCCTCTCTGCCTGTCTGTGTGCTGAGGGGGACGGCGGCACTGGGGCACCGTGGCCTCGCTGTCCTGTCCCGGACAGGCCCCCTCGGAGGGAAGGGAGCCTGGCTGAGCACGGGTGTCCGGGTGAGGAGAGGACGGAGGACCTGTGGTGACTGATCCTGGGCTTCCAGGGACGAGGCCGCACCCTTCAGCTGGACGGCCACCCAGCACCCAGCCCCTTGGAGGAGGGCGGAGACGCGGGTTCCCGTGTCCTGGGTGCCTCCTGCCCGGGCAGAGCCCAGCCCTGGACACACATCAGCGCGACAGAGAAACACGGGCTCCTTTAAAATTCCTTCTTTATTAAAAAAAGCATTTTCTGGGATTTTAAAACTTCTCCGGTGCATAACTTTCCCGCCCCTTAGCACTTCCTTCCTGCCGCCGCCTCTCCCGCTCCGGGGCCTTGGCCACAGGCCCCCGGGAGGCCTCGCCGTCCAGACCGGGAGCCGGGGAGCTGGGGGGCTGGAGGAAGGTGGTCACTGGTCAAGGAGAAGTTCATTTGCACAAAAATATAGACTGTGGAGGATGAGGCCAGCACACTCAGGCGTGGATCGATCTACAACCCACACAGAAAATAGACCCAAGTCGTCGCTTCACATTGTACAAAATAATATAGATTTCCAAACAGCACTTACCGGTCTGCACACACACACACACGGACACGCACACACACGGACACGCACTCACATGCACACACAAGGTGCGTGGCCCTGGCACGCCGGCCGGCCGGGGTCAGTAGGCGAAGATGACGCGGTAGGTGACCTGGTGGCCGTTGTCCCAGGCGTAGAGCAGCCGGTCCTTGGGGTTGTAGTCTATCTGGGTGCTGTAGGAATACTCGTTCTCGAACAGCAGCCGCGGCACGATCTGCGTGTTGGTGTGCGTGTCGAAGGCGTAGGAGATGTTGGCGTTGCGCTGGTTGTGGCTGTCCACGGCGTACAGCACGCCGCAGATGACGAAGCCGTTGCCGTACAGGTCCCGGCGCAGCCCGGTGCGCCACGTGGTCTCCTTCTGCGTGCTCAGGTCCGCGGCGTTGAGCTTGCTCAGCACGATCACCTCCTGGCCGAAGCCCTCGTCGTCCAGGGCCGGGTAGATGAGCCACAGCCCGTTCTCGTCCACGGCGAAGTCCACGTCGGAGCGGCCCTGCCAGCTCCAGGGCGTGGCCTCCTCGTAGGCCGCGTCGTGCAGCATGGCCCAGGCGGCCACGAAGCGGCGGCGCAGGTCGTACTTGATGAGGTTGCGGGTGAAGGCGCGGCTGTAGTAGAAGGCGCCGCCGTACACCACGTGGCCTGTGCCCACCCAGCTGTAGGGCAGCTTGTAGGAGTTGCTCCAGCGGCCTGCGGGGACACGGCGGGGTCGAGCAGGGTTGGCGCCCCGGTTTGTCCTGGTCCCCCCACTTCCTGCCTTTTACAGCAATCGCTCAGCCCCCCCTTCCCCGCCTCATCTGTCCCACAGAGGCCACCAGTGCTGTCCCTCTCTGCACGGCCTCAGGGCCCCAGGTGCTGCCCACGTGGGCGTGGGGGCCAGCTGTCGGGTCGGGGCCACGGGAAGGTCCCGACTCCAGGCCGTCCCCCGTCGCTGGGCGGGAAGGAGCTCAGAGCTGAGGACGCCCTGCTCCCAGGGAAGGTCCCGCCCCCGTCTCGTCCAGGGTCAAACCCAGGACCGGCCGTGACTGAAGGGAGGTCAGGGGAGGACGACCGCGGGGACCGTGCACGTACCCTGCTTGAAGTTCTCCAGGTTCCGGAACTCCACCAGGGTGTTGCCGTAGTAGTAGTTGGTCACGTAGATCCGCTCATCGTTGGCCAGGGGGTCCTTCATCCAGGCCCCTTCGTTCCGCCCGTAGGTGTTCTGGGTGGTGGGCCCCGTGATTGTGGACAGGGTGTCCTTGCACCTTCCTGGGGGAGGGGGGTTGGCGTGATGGTCCACCAGCCACCGAGCTGCCGAGGGGCTTGGCCCAGGCAGTTTGGGGCCCAGAGACCAGTCTGCCCCAGGCCACCTGCCAGGCCTGGACAGCTGTCCTCCAGCCTCAGCCTGTCCTACTGGGCCGCCGGGCCCTCTCCCTTTGGGGGCAGGTCTGCCTCGGGGACAGGAGCTCAGCCGTATCGCGAGCGGCTCTGGAGTGACCCGGTGCCCAGGACACACTGGGCTGGCTCCACCCAGGTCGAAAGCCTGAAAGGCCCCGAATGACCGAGACCATGCGGCCGACGGAGGGCACGCGCTCACCGGGCCGCACCGGTGGGTCCGGAGGACACGGGACGGCGGTGGGAGAGGCCGGTGGGCCGGCTGCCGATAGTCCGCTGGCCCTGGGAGCCAGGACCAGAGGACGCCCCCCCAACCGCCATCAGGGCTGGGGCCCAGATGGGCAACAGTGAGCAGAGCTGCTCCCCGACCTTCACGAAGGGCTCCCTGAATCCCCGGCCACCCCACTCCCAAAGCGTCCCAGTCTGTGGGTGAGGTGGGTGCTCTGCGGGGGACTCGGCGCCCAGATCATGGTGTGTTCCCAGCTTTAGTGAGACACAGCCGTCGTCATGCCGACCAACCTGCTGTCGTCATGCCCACTGAACCTGTCGTCATGCCGACCGACCTGCCGTCGTCATGCCCACTGACCTGTCGTCATGCCGACCGACCTGCCGTCGTCATGCCGACCAACCTGCTGTCGTCATGCCCACTGACCTGTCGTCATGCCGACCGACCTGCCGTCGTCATGCCGACCAACCTGCTGTCGTCATGCCCACTGACCTGTCGTCATGCCGACCGACCTGCTGTCGTCATGCCCACTGACCTGTCGTCATGCCGACCGACCTGCTGTCGTCATGCCAACCGACCTCTGTGCTCCTCCCCACCCCCACGGCCCTTCCCAACTAGGAGCTGTGCCCTCAGGGCCTGTCCACTCGGCATGTGGCGGGGGTCCGTCCCGCCATCGGAGAGCCCGGTCCCTCCCGACGGCATCTGCGCCCCCCTCGGAGCTACACTCTCAGCAAACGCTTGTTCAAATGACCATTAGTCAGTTCTAATTGGCGTGTTCTGGGATTTTCCTGGCGTTTTACAGTCCCCCGAGGGTGATGGTCGGCGTGTCAGGAGATCACAGCTTCGGCTTTGGAAACTGGGTGGGACGTTCCTTTTAAAAGCAGCCACATCTCGCCCAAACTCAGAACTGCCAGACCTGGGCAGTTGACCAGTGGCCGGTCCGCTCCGGCCACATGACTGTCACTGAACTGACGGCGGGACCTGCAGCCTGTGCGTCTGCCTCGGGTGTGCAGGGAAGGTTCTGGAAAGGAAGCCCCACGCGCAGAGGACAGACAGCGCTGCCCCGTGTCCAAGGCCTCGTCTGCGTCCACACCTGTCTCCCTGCAGCCGGCGCGGCCGGCGGCCCCGGCTCAGAGAGGCCACGGGCCAGTCCCGAAGCCAGGCCCTCGCCTGTGACGCTGTCCCAGTGAACGGGACGCTGACCAGCCAGACTGTACCCACCCTGGCTCCTGCCCGGCCCCTGGCCGCTGGGACCCAGCGCCTCCTGCTGGCCTCAGCCTCAGCCAGGCTGCTAGAGGGGCGCAGCTCTGAGAACCCCGACGGTGCATGTTGGGGCCACACCCAGGAGCACGGCCGAGGCCGCCCAGAGCCGAGAGCGGACCCGCCCTCAGGCGCCAGGACACTCACAGAAGTTGGGCAGGAGGCGGCTTCGGACTGTCCGCGGAGCAACGGCCCCACACGGCGGTCAGCTGCCCCGTCCCCACAGCAGGGAGAGGAAAGGGACACATCCCTCCTCTGCCCCCACGCCATCATCTGGGGTCGCCACCCCCAGGACGCACCGGCTGGACCACAGCCTGACCGACTTACTGCCAATTTCCAACTTCATCCGAGACCCACGGAACCCTGCCCCCAGGCAGCGCCGACAAAGGTCCATAAGACCCACGAAGCCGGAGCTCTGGCTCTGCTGGTCCCCATGGGACCGCACCCGGATTAGAGCCGCCCCCCAGTGGTGACCCCACTGCCCTGTCTGGGAGCAGCCTGCCCACGGGCTCCTGCCGATGCCCAGCTCGGCCTTCCCCTGGGCTGACGGAGACCAGGCCGGGAAGAGCGGACTCACCTATGACATTCCGGATGTCATCTTCCCCTTCGGGGTGCAGGGTGGGGCTGGCAGGGGCTGTGCCCTGCCCAGCGATGGCGTCCCGCCCCGGGGAGTCTGTCCCGACCACGGTGGGAGGCACCGGGGCCACTTGTGTGGTCTCCAGAAATGTGTCCCCAGGAGCTACGGGCAGAGAAGCTGGGGCCGGAGGGGGCTGGGTGGCCGTGTGGGCCACGGTGGTGGCCGGTGCCCGACTGGACGGCGTGAGGACTGCCTCCCCTGGGGCGTCTGGAGACACGGGCGTGGCCGGCAGGGGTGTGGACGTGGGTTCCGCCGAGGCCGAGACAGTAGGGCCCGGGACTCGGGGCGCCAAGGTGGAGGCCGGGGGCCTTGCGGAAGACAAGGCTGGGGTCACAGCAGCAGCGTGACGGGGGGCTGCCGGCCTGCGGGGTGCAGCTGTCAGCAGGTCCTCGTGTCTCAGCAGCTGGTCCTCAATGAGCAAGTCCACACCGTTGTCGCCGCTAAAAAACTCGTCTTCTGGGAAACAAACAGTTCACGTGGGCTCGGGGAAGACGCCGTGGGGGACCCAGGGCGGACAGCACGGGGCAGGTCGAAAAGAGGGTTTCTTTCCCCAGAATGGCACCCTGGCTGAGGGATAGAGCCCCAGGAAGAGGTGGAGGGGACGCGGGGCGAAGGTGGTGCAGACTCGGGCCACCAGACAGTCCTGGGAGGAACTCGGGCGCCGCCGTCCAGCCATGCGGCCGGAATTCATGGAGCATAAACAACAGTGAGCAGCAAGGTCCTTGCCTCCCAGAGCCATGGGGGGCGGGGGGGCATCCTAGCAGCAGACGCAGATCATGCACCTGCCGCTGTGGAGAGAAGTCGGTGAGGGAGGGGGGTCCGGGGAGCTGGGCAGGGAGGGGAGGGGAGCAGAAGCCAAGCAGCTACGGGGCAGGGTGTCTGGGGGAACAGCAGCTGTGCAAAGGCCCTGGGGCTGGAACATGCCTGTGAGGCTGAGGGCAGCATGGCGGCCGGTGTGGACAAAGCGGGGGTCAAGTTGGGGGCACAGGAGGTGAGGGCAGAGGGGCGTGGGAGCGGTCGTGGGGGCTGCGCGTGGACGTGTTTGCCTCCTGAGGGAAATGGGTAGTGTGTGAGGCGCAGATCTCGAGGGGGCACAGAGGCGGGGCCACAGCGGGGGGGGGTGTGTGAGCAGCACACCCGTCTGCTGCGCAAGGCGCCCTGAGGGACTGCAGGTGCAGCCACGGCAGGGCCGTGTCGCCGTTCCCGCGACCGACAAGCACTTGTCCCAGAAACGCCGAAATCTTGCCAATCAATGAAAGAGGCAGCAAACAGAAGGGGTGAGCAGAGCCGACCCTCCAGGTGCTGGGGAGCAGAGCACAGGACGGGAGGAGCACAGAGTCCGGGAACCGGACAAAGGTGAGGGAAGCCGGGGTCATTCGGGGAGCAGGGAGGGAGGGGTGCCCAGCCCAGGAGGCGCGAGGCCCTGGAAGGAAGGCGGGAGCAGGGAGCCAGCCGCCCTCCACACCTCGGATTCCTCGTGCGCCCGAGGCCTCTGCAGGCCCAGGGGCGCCAGGTGACCTGCCCACGGCCCTGGGCACGGGGAGGCAGGGCCTGAGGAGCCGGGGTCTGAGGGCAGGGACTTCCCATGGCCGCCGGCCGCCCGTGTGGCTCCCTCCCAGCCCCGCCCAGGGGCCTGCGCCCCGACTCACGCTGCTCTTCTATGTCGTTCTCCTCCTCGGGGTCCTTGGCTTTGTAGTAGGTGACGCCCCGGATGACGGTGGGCTTGGAGGCGGGCCGGCCCCGCAGCCGCACCTGCCTCTGGAGGGGCCGCGCCAGCTCCGGCGGAGCCAGCGGCCGCGTGTGCAGGAGCTCGATGGAGTTGACGTGCTGGGACACGGTCTCTTCCTGCAGGAACCTCTCTTCGTACTGCTCCTCGGGGGACAGAGGGGCCAGGTCACAGGTCAGGGTCACGGGGACAGAGAGGGGCCAGGTCACAGGTCAGGGTCACGGGGACACAGAGGGGCCAGGTCACAGGTCAGGGTCACGGGGACACAGAGGGGCCAGGTCACGGGTCAGGGTCACGGGGACAGAGGGGCCAGGTCACAGGTCAGGGTCACGGGGACACAGAGGGGCCAGGTCACAGGTCAGGGTCACGGGGACACAGAGGGGCCAGGTCACGGGTCAGGGTCACGGGGACAGAGGGGCCAGGTCACAGGTCGGGGTCGGGGGGGTCAGAGCAGGGCCGGGTCATGGATCAGGGTCAGAGGGGGCAGGGTCACGGGTCAGGCTCAAAGGGGTCACAGGAGCCCAGGTCACAGGTCAGAAGGGTCACAGGATTCCGGGTCATGGGTGAGGGTCGGGGGTCACAGGGGTTCGGGTCAGGCTCAGAAGGGTCACAGGGGGCCGGGTCACGGGCCAGGTGAGAAGGTGCTGGAGCCCCGGCCACACCGACGACAGGGGCTCACCCCACAGGTCTGTCCATGTGCTTTGCATACGCAACCGGTTCTGTCTCCAGATGGCCCCTCTGAGGAAGGAGCCGTCCGTCGCCTCTTACAGACGAGGACGCGGAGGCACAGTGTGAGCCCCAAGTCAGGGCCCCGGGTCCAGCTCCTGAGGGTGGTGGCCCCATCCAGGAGGTGGTGGGACCTGGGGGTGTGGCCCAGCCGGCTCTCAGCCACTGCAGCCACGGGGGGCTCTCAAGAGGGGAGGTGCACACTCCCTGCCTGCCTGTCGCTAGACCGCGGTGAGTCCCCCAGACGCAGAGCCACGGAGACAAAGCCCCGAGCCCCGAGCGGCGGGCAGGCCTGCGGGTCACGGAGGGTCACTGGCAGGGCCCCCCCGGTGTCACTGCGCAGGGAGGAGCAGGGGGGACGCAGTGACCTTTAGAATCGGGCCTGGAGAGAACGTGGAGTCCTTACTCTCAGCCACACCCGGGTCTGCGCCGGGCTCCCGTGACGAGAGATTACCCAGATGGCGCAGCGGACACGCCTGCCTGGCGCCCGGCCTGCAGTGGAGACTGAGTCCTGGGAGGCGGGGCCCCGGGCTGAGAGGCGCCCGGAGGGACCCGGCCTACGTGCCGGGCACCCGCCCCGCCCCCGCCCCCACCCTGGCCTGGAGGTGACCTGGATGAGAGGTCCCAGAGATGCATTCAGGGAACGCCTGCTAAGGTCACACACGTCCTTTCGTGCTACTTTTCGCCCCTCCCCGCGGGGCAGGTGATGCCATCAGCGGCAGGTAAGGAGGGAGGCTCGGAGCCGCGGGGCCGTCTGGTGGGATGGCCGTGAACTGGCGCTCAGAGGGGCACGTGCTCCGTCACTGGCTGCTCCGCATGCCCAGGGCTGCCCGCCCTCAGGGCCTGAGCCCCTCCCCACGGGGCCCACGGCTGTGACCGCAGGACTAACTCGTGTGCCCCGAGAACCTTGTCCATGTCCCCTGGCCCCCAGGGCCGCGGTCTGGCTAGTGCCCAGCAGGCTGGGGGACCCCTCGTTTCCCACCGGACAGAGCTGCTGGGAGGCAGAGAGGCGCCGGGCCACCTAATTGCCGGGCCCCGGTGCCCCCCTGCATTGCTGAAGCCGGCTGTCACTGCCCCGTGGCAAACCCCAGAAGCTGTCTTTAATTCTGGCTCTCGGGGATGGGCGGGGCTGTGGCTCCGCCTGGGAGCCAAGGGGATGGAGCAAGGCCTCCAATCGGCCCAGCCAGAGAACGTGTCATTTCCCCGGGTTCCTGGCCACAGGCTGCTCGGGGCACAGCGGCCCCACCAAGCTCTGATCCCCTCTCTCTGTTAATCCAAGACACTCGTGTGACTTCAAGCCCTGGCGTCTGGCCGTCCCCTCTCCCAGCCTGTGTCCGGAGCCGCTGCCAGCCCTCCAGGAGAGAATATTCTTGGAAAGAGGCCCCCAGAATTGTCAGCCACCATTCTGAGAAACTGTGACATTGTCTGCAAGAACCCCGAAGGTACCAGCTCAACCCAGCGGCAGGGACGGGGGTGACACGGAGGAAGAGCCGGCCTCAGGCCCTCGGCGCTCCCTGGGCCGGGCTCGGTCCCCGCCGCCTGGTTTGGGTGGATTGTGCTGATGCAGCAGCATGAGGACCGGGCCTCGGAGGGGACAGGGCTCTGCTGAGCAAGGAGACGTCGGGGTGTTTGATCTGGTTTGCTGTTTGCCCTCAGGAAATCTGAGCGGGTTCCTGAACCCACCACAGCATGTGTCATCGAGACAACGGGCGACTCTCAGCCTGGCCACCTGGGGCAGCCTGCGCCCACGGGCCCAGACGGGCACCTCCAGGTCCCTCTCCAGCCCGGACGTCCTTGGCTCTGAGGCTGGGAGCTCAGGCCTGCTTGGGGTGGCCCACCAAGTGGACGAGGAGCGTCCCCCCCGTAGCAAGCACACAGGGATGTCCCGAAATGGGAACGAATATCATTCTCGAAGGAATATGATATTTCCCAAAAGCATCCAAGTAGTCATCACGGGCAAAGCCAGGCAGCTAGAGGCCTTCCTTGTACTTACTCTCTGGTTTGGAACTGGCTTTGTTCTGAGTCACACAGGCAGGGGGCTGGCGCCGAGCCTTTCTCAGGGCGGCCCCGCCTGCTGTCTGCCCCCAGAGCACACCTGCCTGGCTCCCCACACCGCGGCGCTGTCCCTGGACCAGCGGTCTGCTCGGGAGTTCCAGGCACACGGCCGGGCTCACTTCCCACGGACCCCAGAGCCCAGTGACCCAGGCAGCAGTGTCCTGTGGCAACAGCCCCAGACCCTGCCCACCCTCTCCCTGCCTGACTGCCCCTGGCGGAAGGCCCCTCCGGGTACGGTCACGCTCTGCCGTCCACCCCTGACCGATGCCCCTGGGGAGTGGGCCCAGGCACCTCCCACTCGCCGCCCTGCTGTCCTGCCTGGTGCTGTCCTGCCCTCTACCCGCCACTCTCTCGGGTCAGCTCCCAGATTAAGGCCCGTTTCCTGGGCATCCGTTTAGGGGATACCCGACACGTTAACAGTGACATGTGGCCACCAGCACATAAACGTGACCTGTAACTGGAGCCAGAACAGAGGGGAGGCGCTGAAGCTGGCGGGTCTGTGGGTGTCGCTCACAGTCAGACGGTGACATCGGGCGGGGGCACAGCTGGGTGGGCAGAGACGAGGGTCGAGGCCCTGCCGCCTCTTCCCTGAGCAACCGCGGCCTGTCCTGTCTGCCTCACCCGCGCAGTGAGATTCTGGCCTCCGCTGACCGCTACCCAGCTGAGTCCTCTCGGGCCTCGTGTTGAGTGAGATGGGCCCCCACCCCACCGGCCCGCCGGGAGAGGGTCCAGTGGACGGCTGGGCGGGCGGCGCCGCGCTCGGGCTGGCCTACCTCGGGGTGGGCGTAGGCGGCCGCTGCGTCCCTCTGCAGGGTGGCGCTCACGTCGGGCAGGCTGCACTCGGGGTTCCGAGAGCAGTTCTCTTTGTGCTGCTTGTTCATCTCGGCTCGAATCCCTGCCACGTCCTCCTTGATTTGCTCGTTTTCCTTGGTGAGGTTTTTGGAAACTTCCTGAGAGGAGAAACAACGTAAAAAGGGGGCTCGTTGCTGGGCTCTGAAGACAAGCAGGCGGCAGCTGGTGTGGCCGTCCGCTCAGAGTGCAGGGACCGGCCAGCGGGGCTGGGACGGGGCCAAGGAGCAACGGGCCCAGGTCCCGGGCCCCAGGCCGCATCTCCGACAGCCTGGCTCCAGCAGCCCCGTGGCCGGAAACACTGGTCAGTACCACCTGGCTCCCTGACCATACCCGGAAGGGAGGACGCATGAGCACTGGGCAGGGCTGCCGGGCAAGGGGCACCACGCAGGTGGGCCTGGAGTACAGTGGGCACAGGGCAGCGAGCTGGTCAGAGCACAGCCTGAACGAGCCAGCAGGACGGGTGTGCACACGAGAGGGGCTGGGGGCTGGTGAGGCGGGGGAGCTGCTCCCGGGACAGACTGTGTCTGGGCCCAGCGGCTGCACAGGTGCGCGGGAGCCTGGCCGAGGCTGAGCCGACCACGCTGGGACCTGGGGCAGAGGAAAGGCTGCGGACGTGGGCAGCTCTAGGCCGGAACAGGGGCGGGATGTGGAGACGGAGGTGGCGCCCACACCACAAGCACGCCCGGCTGCGTAACCACACGGCAGGGGGGCCTCTCTGGTACCTGCCTCCCTCCCCAGGCCTGGCACCCGTGGGCGCGGCAGAGCAGGAGGGGCCTCAGGGGCAGGGAGGAGGGTGGGGACCCACACTCAGGGAGACGAGCTGGATGGCAGCTGGGCCATGCAGGGCATGGGCTCCGCACCCGGGGCCGCCTGGCCCATGGGCAGGTGGTGGGATGTGCCCAGGCTTCAGGCAAAGGGAACAGGCCCCCTCGTGGGAGTGGCGGGAGCAGGTGTGGGGTCACGACCCCAGTGGGAGGGGAGCTCAGCCTGCCCTTCACCGCTCTGAGCCCTCCAGGACGTGACCGGAACCAGGTGGCCGGGGACAGCCACCCCAGCTGACAGCTGTCTCCAGCCCGACACAGCTGGTGCTCAGACTGCCGGACAGGCAGGACAATCCGTCTGACCAGCTGACAGAGACAGCCGCCCGCCAAGGGCCACCGCTCCCCAAGGAAACAGCTGCGGAGCATCCAGCCCGGTCAGGTGTCGGCCGAGATCTGGGGGACGGGGGCACTCAGACCAGGGGCCCTGGAAAAGCCCAGGCCTCTGGGTGACTGTCCACATCAGGGAGACCCAGCCCTTGGCTGCTGCCACACTGGGTCTTGGTGTGAAAAGAAGGTGTTTATACTCTATTTCACTGATTCTCTCGGCCACTAAGTTGGCACGGTTTTGGGTGTTTCACAAACAGTTTTTTCTTTCCAGAGCGGAGTGGGTTACGTCAGGGTCAGAGCCTGCCGAGAACACACGGCGGGAAGTCTGATGCACTGTGGGGCTTGATCAGAAGGACGTGGGGACCCAGCGCCCGCCTTACCTCCTCCAGCCTGTCCACGCGCCCCAGCAGCTTGGTGGTGACCGAGTGTAGCTTCAGGAGGTCCAGGCCGTAGAAAGCCCCCTCCAGCATGTCGATGATGGTGGCCAGCTGCGGACAAGGGCGGGGTCAGTCTCAGCAGGGAGCCCCCTCGGAGGCTGGCATCTGCGTGGGCCGCCACGTCGGCCAGCGGAAAGGTGTGGGCGCCCGCCCACGGGAATCGGGTGAGCCAATGGATGAACCCCACCAGAAGAATCCTCCTCTCGATGAATCTGTCTGTCGCAGGCCCGTCTGTCTTTCCTACGAGGCTGGGGGCTCCCAGGTGTCCACGGCCGGTGCCCTGTGAATACTCAGGTGGACTGGAGGGTACGCGCCTGACACTCACCTTCACGGTCTACTGAGGGCCCGGAGACGCTACGCTTTCCCTTGGCACCGAGAGCTACCCTGACCCTAGCCTGAAAGACCCTGTGCCCCCTCTCTGAGGGGCAAGCGGCCACGGGCACCCAGGGCCCTTTCTGCCAGTGCAGAGACCCTGGCGTGTCCGGGCTTGTGGGGCAGAGGGTGGCGGCTTCCCGAGCCTCCTGCCAAGGGCCCCTCAGAACAGGTGGCTGGACACACGCTCCACCTCTGCCCCCGCCCAGCCCCCCACCTGGAGACTGACGAGGAACCAGTGTATGACACCCATGTTTGGGAGGTTCTTCCCCCCTCCAGGCGCAGCAGCTGAACCCCACGTGAGGCCGTGGAGGGAGGGGTGTCTGGCTCTCACGTACGGATGGTTTTCTGGTCCCCACTAGGAGGTTCTGCCTGCCTGCCCAGGAGCCCCCGCGTCCTGCCCTGCACCTCGCGACTGCAGGTTCAGAAGCTGGTTTCAGGGCGGGGCTGCAGCCGGGGCTGTGGCCGGATCCGGGTCACCCCTGTCCGGCTGGACAGCACTCTGCCCGCCAGCGGCCAGCGGCCAGCGGCACTTGACAGGGTTGTTCCTGAACACAGCGCCTGTCTACGTTGCACCGACAACGTGATCGATGGCTGTCGTCTCATCAAGGCTCAGAACAGCCCCCCAAGGAGGAGGATGTTATCCCCCTTCTCGTTCAAGGGGACTCAGGCAGACAAGTCGATAACGTGAGTCGGATGAGGCAGTGGGGGGGGAACAAGGATCTATCCGAGCCCATCGGTCTGACTCCCAACCAAGCTCCTCCCACTGCCCCTGCTGCGAGGGAAGGGACTTCGAGGACCAGCAGAGCCCCCCACCCCGTGCGCCAGCATCGCAGGACCACGGCGGAGGACTGGCCCCAGGCCGCGCCTTCCTGGGGTCACCCAGCCCTTGCATGAGACTGTGTGCGTCCCCCGCCTTTGGGGTGCATGCTGGTGACAGTCATGGCCGTGCTCGTGGGGAAGGGCACCAAGTTCTTCTGGCTGCTGGGCCTGGCAGCTGCCACAGGCCCGGCTGCCCGGCTCCATTGGAGACAAGGGCCCACTGGTCCCGGCATCTCCCTGGGACATCGGGCCGAATGGGCCCGTCTGTTAAGAGCTGACGCAGTCCCCTGGCTTGTCGGGCTCCAGGGCCCCTCGGGCCCCCTCACCCGCGGCATCACCCCACCGGGCCCCACCTTCAAGTCCCTGCTGTCGGCCTCCCGGAGCTTCTGGAGCCGGAAGTCGCCCTCGCAGGGGTTGAGGGCGGAGGGCGGCGCGACGCAGGCACACTTGCAGGGGGAGCCGGAGGTGATGGTCTCCACGGTGTAGAAGTCCTCCTTCCTGGGGGTCCCCGCGTTGACCCGCTGGCAGGCGTCTTGGCCCAGAGGCCGCACCACACACTTGCACTGGCAGTCGGAGCCCTCGGACACGGCCTTGACCTTGTCGTAGTCCCCCAGCAGCTAGACGGACAGACACACGGAGAGGACAGTGAGGACGGTGAGGCATGCAGACGGGCGGAAGCAGGCTCTCTGCCCACTCAGCCAGAGGCCTCGGCAGCGCTGCTGGGCGAGAAGCGTCCGCACGCCATCTGCCACCCGGGACAGCTGTTCGAAGGCCCCGCGTCAGCTTCCTCCTCGCTCCGGGAGCTGTGGGTGTCTCAGGGCCTCAGCCTTCAGCATTTAAGGTAAAAGCCAACGAGCCCCTCATGCTCCCAGCGGTCTTTGCCCAAGCGGCGCCCAGGTTTAGATGAACGAAGGGAAGGAGGGGCTGACGGAGGGCCGCCTGCTGAGACTCCGATCTGGAGGCCGCTCTTCCCACCCCGATCACCCTCCACGCCCAGCGCCTCCTGGGGCCGCGCTGGGAGCCCAGGGGGCAGAGGTGGGCCAGGTGAAGGGCCAGCGCTGAGGGCCCCCGCCCAGGAGGGCGAGGGACAGTCACAGAAGCAGAGATGGGTCCCTGCGTGCCCCGTGCAGGGGGCTCCACCAGGGCCACCGTGCACGGCCAGCACCAGGAAGACTTCTCAGAGGAGGTGGCGTCTGACTGGGCCTCAAAGGATGGGCTAGATTTGGAGGAAGGGAGCTGGGCGGAGAAGTCGGTGAGGATTACTCAGCTTAAGGATTTGTTTGGCTCCTGCAGCATCTTCTGAACCCAAACTCCAGGCCAAAGCTGGGAATGCAAACTGGCAGCTTCTTCGAGGCGAAGCGTTTCCTCAGAGCCCTGGCCCCGCCGCCTCCCCAGGCAGGGCCGTGCCACAGCGGCCGGCCGCGGGAGCCACCCTGGGCACGAGTAGGGGGCAGGCTCCTTGCAGCGTCTCCAGCAGGCCCTGCACCCCTCGAGCCAGGCTCCCTTTCGAGGCACGGAGACGGGTTCCTTTCATCTGACTCATGACCCGACCGGCTGGCCGGGAGCTTGTTTGGGGGGAGACGTTCCTGGGATGCTGGCTGGGGGAGCAAGGCCTGTCGTGTTTGTCTTGCGAAGGTGGGGTTTCTCCTACCACTATTACATGTTTTCAGGGCTGTTGTCGAACGGAGTGGCTCAGCGGAGGAAGGCGGTGAAGTTCAGGGGGACTGACGTGGCCGGGCTGACAGTCCGTCTGAACTCTGCTCAGCGTCTCCCTCACCTGCACCAGGCACCCCCAGAGCCCCTCCTGCCAGAGGCTCGGCTTTCGGAAGGCTTTGCTGGTGGCCCTGCAGAACTCCAGTGTCCGGCGTTTCTGTCTGTTCTATTTAGGGGTCAGTGCGAGGTTGTGGGTGGGTCTGGGGCATATGTTCGCATAACTATGAAGGAAGGCCCAGGAGATGGGTGTTTGAGAGCCCCAGTGCCAGGGCTGTGGGGGTTGGGGGGCAGCGACCTCCTCCAGGTCCTCTCTCAGCCCCCCCCCCCTTAGGTAGTGACACTCATCACACGTCAGCGGCCGGCTCTGGGGGCATGAAGTAGAAGCCGAGAGCAGTCCCTGACAGGCAAGGGGTCGGGGCCAGGATGGTGGGAGACCTGGGCTCTGCACCCCCAGCTCTAACCGCTCCGAGCCTGACAGTCCTTACTGGGGCGAGGAACAGGGTGTGTGAGGACTGAGTTATAAGACAAGGGAAGTTCTTTGCAAAGGGACAGCATACAGAGCCATCGCTGTCCCTCGACACCCTCCCCTGCCCCCCGTCTGCCACCCTGGGGGGGGGTCTGCATTTCCACCCTACCTCCCCCATCAGGGGTTGTCATCAGTCCCTCTGTGTTGGGGGACCTCACATTCATCACACATGTTGCTCTCTGCCCACACACACCCCGTCTTCTGCTGGGGGTCTCACTCCTGCAGTGAAACGTCTCCCCGGGGGTCCCACCACCCGCCTGTCCACATTCCTGTTGGGACAAACAGCCATGCAGACCGGAGGTGGCCCCTTTCCCCAACCCTGAACCAAAAGGTTTTCCCTTCCTTCTCCTTTGCCCCCTCCCCCCCTTCCATCACCTTGAAAGACCCCATGACCCTGAGGGGGGTCCTTCCCCTAAGAAAATATTCTGGTCAGTGAGAAGCAACCGCCCTTCAGCAGGGACCACGTCCTGGCTCCTGGCTCACCAGGGCGGGCAGGTGGCAGGGGCGCGCACCCACCTGAGACAAGATGTTCTCCTGGTTGTCCGCCTCATTCTGCAGGGTCTCGGGCTCGGGGGGCGCCGCGGTCTGTGCGCTCGGGGGCTCGCTGGTGCCTGCGGGGGGACCGCTGACCACGCAGCCGGGAGCCACACCCAGAGCCAGGCAGAGAACCAACAGCACAGGCTTGGCCATGAGGGCGCGACAGGGGGCCCCCGGGGGACGTCTGGGGTCGGTCGGTCCGGCAGTGACTGAGGCGAGAGGGTATTTCGGCGGAGTCCGAGGGGGGCGGCTCAGAGCGCCTGCTCCAGCTGGGCGCAGCCGAGCGCGCGTGGCGGGTGCGCCTCTGCGACCCTGGTCATCTCCCTGCCGGCGCAGCAGCCCGCACCCTGGGCCGGCGGCGAGCGGGGCGCAGGAAGGAGGAGGTGGCCCGGCGGCCTCAGGTGGGAGGGTGGGGTCCGGGCAGGAGCGGGCGGTGCGCACCGGGCAGCAGTGGGGAGCCTGGGTCGCCCGGGGCGGGTGGCCGGGAGCCTGGGGCGCACGGACCGGCGCCGACTGCTGGGCGGACGCCGCGAAGAGCTCGCGGAGGGAGGGCGGAGCCTCTATTGTGCGGGCCTCGGAGGTGCAGCCAGTGACAGCCCGGAGGAGGGAAGGAGGAGGAGGGGCAGCGGGAGGGGGAGGAGGGCCCAGAGGCCCCGGGCGCCCCTGACCCGCCCCGCCGGGCTCGGGCGCTGGCCCCCGGGGTGGCGTCGGATGGGCGGCCCTGTCCTTCATCTGACCGAGAATGAGGGAGGGAGAGGAAAACCTGACGTGGTCTCTGGGGTTTGGGGTCCCCGGTGCCCCGGGGCCGGAGGGGAGCCCGGGAGGCAGGCGGAGCGCTGGGCGCTGACCTGGGGGGGAGGGGCCTCTGCTCCCCGCGTCTCCCCCGACCCGACTCGCAGCTTTAAACTTGGCGCTGCCGGGAGGTTTGCTCGGGTGCAGGTCCGAGTCGGGGAACACCCACCCGGAGGACAGCGGCTGAGCTAACACCCTGCCGGAGACAGGCTCTGTGGGGGACGTCTCACACTCCGGGCGCCGGCTGGGGAGCTGCTCCCCAGAACCACAGGCTGTCACGGGGAACATCTTACCGTCTCCCAGTGGGTGGCACGTCTCAGGGTCTCTGTCACCAGCTGGCCCTCGAGAAGGCGCCCACCGCCCACGCTGCGGGATGGTTCCGCGGCCCTTCACCCGCGTGTCTTTTTACAAACCTGTGACTTGAAGGAACGGCGCCCTGCCTTCGGGGACAACTGTCACCCCGGAGACACTGAGCTGAGCCGGCCCCCTTCAAAGATGGGAGAGGAATCACTATGCGTCCCCGAGAGGTGCAGACACCTTCTCTAGGGCTAAAGAACAGGCTTGTGATCGTGCACTCCGACGGGACGTGGCGAAATAAATGATCCTCGTCGACAGACCTGTAGTAACAGCCCTCATTAATGCTTTACTACTCTTCTCTGTTTTATTTTATCCCAGCTTATGGACAAAAGTTCAAGATCTGGGTGTCTGGACTTGTGGAAATGCCATACACATACCGCCCCCACGTAAGCTATGAAATCGTCTCTGGAACTCGACGGCCGGACATCTGTGAAACACCGTTTCCAGTGCAGCTCAGCAGACAATGCTGGCTGAGTAGGAGGCTGCCGGGTATTTAATGGGAAGACAAGATGGCCCTTCTTCCAGGGGCGGTGAGCACAGCACCTCCCCGGGGCTGAAAGGGAGACTCCCCACTTCCAGCTGAAGGTCAGGGTTTCACAGGGAGTGATCTCTGTAGACCTGCAGAAATACAGAGCGGTGTCTGCCGGTGGGGCTCAGTGGTTGAGCACCGACCCTGCACCAAGAGGTCGCCAGTTCGATTCCTGGTCAGGACACATGTCCACCTCGGGGGCCCGATCCCCAATGGGGGGCGTGCAGGAGGCGGCCAACGATGTTCTCTCTCATCGATGTTTCTGTTTCTCTCTTCCTCTTCCTCCCTCTCTCTCTCTAAAATCAGTACGGGGAGCCCTGGCCAGTGTGGCTCAGCGGTTAGAGCGTCGGCCTGCGGTCCGGAGAGACCCGGGTTCGGTTCCCGCTAAGGGCACGTACCTCGGTTGCAGTTTGTCCCCGGCCCTGGTTGGTCGTGCGGGTGGCAGCCACTCGATGTGTCCCTTCACGTCGATGTTTCTCTCTCTCTCTCCCTTCCTCTCTCTCCCTCCCACTCTATCTGTACAAAAAATGGAAAAATATCCTCGGGTGAGGATAAAAAAAAATAAAAATAAAAAATAAAATAAAATCAATACGGGGAAACAAACTTTTTTTTTAAAGCACAGGGTGGGGCAAGCGGGTTTACAGTTGTTCATGTGGAAAATAACACACTGATTAACAATTAATAAGTAAGAGTACGAGAATAGACGCTGTGTTTGGCGTACTCACAACTGCAACCCCACTTTAACCCGCCGCGCCGCACCCTGTGCGTCCCCCAAGGACTCCTGTGGCAACAGAGTGGTGGCTCTTCACCCTGTCCTCTGAGCCAGCCCTGGGAGAGGAGTTCCTGCAACTGCATTTCAACCAATAGGATTGAGGCTTTCCCCATTTATGCAGATAGAGCTCCATCAGCATCTTCACTGACCAATCAGAGTGGCTCTATCCTCACCAATTAGGACAGTGCCTTTATGGACCAACCAAACGGCCAGGATTTACAGTCCTCGTTTGCATGAGGACAAACCAATTAGGGACCAAAGGCAGAGATTTCTGTCTCTGTAAGTCAGCTGTCCTGGCTCCCAGGTACACTTCCCCTTCCCCCCAGGGCTGCCTCCCCTGCTGGAGCTGAGCAGTTACAGATGGCTCACTGGAGGGGGGCAGAGGGGAGGACAGGGGAGCGGACGACTGCAGAACAGAGCTCCCAGCCGAGAGGGCCCTGGCTCAGGGCGGCCTCCCAGCCATACTGTCCCACATCATGCTGCATCACTACGGAGCTGTTTGCACAGAATAGTCTCCTTCTTCACAGCTCTCCAAACTGGGGGTTCCTGTTGGCACTGAATCGGCGCCAAGCACTATTAGTTGACGATGTCATTTAATTTTAGCCTCATCAGGCAGCCTGGAGCCATGGCGGAGCCCAGGCGTTGGGACCAGACAGACAGGCTGTGGGACTGGCCATACTTACTGAACGTGGGTGCGCCACCTAACTTCTGGGAGCCTCCCTCTCCGTTGCAACTCGGGGACCTCACAAGCTGTGTGCTGACCGGACCTTCTTCCGTGACCTTCATAGGCATGAAGCCCGACCCCCGCTTCCAAGGCTCAAAGTAATGGGCGTCCAAAGATCACAGAAGCTTCATCACGGTCGGTCGGATTTAGCATCGGGGCGCTGATGCAAGGGGAAGGTTACTTGGAACAGGAGAAGGTTCTGCCCTGGGCTTTGTGGGCCTTCGGAACGACAGGCGGGCTCTCATCCTGACTCGTCGGGGGTGACCTTAGACGAGTGTTTCTCCTCTACACCTCAGTTTTCTAAGATGGCTCCGTGGTTGTGGAGATTGGGGGATGTATACACATTCCTGTCCTGTCACCAAATCTTTTTGACAGTTGAATGAGTGGTAAGATAGTAACCATTTTGTCCCAGCTTCTGACTTGGTAGTAGAGTCCCTGTGCCTCAGTTTCCTTATCTAAAAAAGGAAGTGATCATGCTCGATTCTGTTCCCGGTGATTTAGGTGAACACATTTTTCCTTTCTGTGGGTTTGCTTTGTTCCAGGGGCGAAACTTGAACGAGGTAACATTCTGAGGCCTGAGCAGCTCAGAGGTGCCCTCGGAGGCTGGGCTGGGCCGCTCCCGGGAGATCGGCCTGAGTGGGGAGGGTCAGGGGTGGGCCTCTCTGGGCGGACAGACGGCACCGTCCAGGGCAATCCCTGGTCCGACACCGAGTCCTGAGTGAAAACCCAGGGTCCCCTCACCCCAGCTCTGTGCCCCGAGAGCCCAGCTCCCACCCGGGGAGAGAAAGACCTGAAACAGCAGCGTGGCTGAGACCGGGCGGCGCCCCAGAGGTTCAGCTCCTGCTGACAGGCCTCCCCTGCCCGACGGGCTGCTTGGGCCGGGTTGTGAGCCGCTTGGCTGCAGGCGTATTGGCTCGGCCAGCACAGCCAGTTTAGTTTCTGATTTCTAACGTCATCGGGGAGGCTCTCACTCCCTGTGCCCGGCCCTCACCCCTCCACATGACATCGTCCTTGGTAACGCCAGGCCTCTGAAGGCAGGAAGTCTGTGACCCCGGCTTTAAGGTCTTATCTTCCCCAAGACAAAACCCAAGACAAAGGCCTAAAGCTCCGATCTTCAGTGGCGGGAATTCAGGGTGTAGAGCTCCCTGGCATCGGGTGTTGTCAGCCCCGCTGATGTTAACACGCCCGTCTCCACCGAGTGTCTCCACCCCTGTCAGCTGCACAGGTGTGAGGGGTCGGGACCGGAGCCCAGCAAGGCAGTGGTGGTGGCTCACCAGGTCCCCTGGTGGCTCAGGGGCTGCTGCCCGGTGTCATCCCTCAAACCCAGCAATTTCCAGTCTGAGCGCCTCGTCTCCACTCCAAACCAGGCATCACCCACAACGCCCCTCTCTGCTCCCACGACCCAGGCCTCTCCGTTTGCCTGGTGTTGATTTTCTGTATCCTGCCTCTTCTTGGCTCAAAAAGTCTTACCCCCACAGCTCTGTCTGATTATATCCCTACAGTACGGTTCCACCTGATGCTCTGCCCGAGGTCAGCAGCTCCCCAGCCCCCTCTGGATAAAGCCCAAGGCCCCAGCCTCCTGGCATCTCCATGATGCCCGTGCCCTTCTATCGGGCTCCAGGCTCCTGCACTTCCTCCTGCGTGGACCACTCTTCCCAGAGAAGGAGAGAGAGAGAAACAGGAAGTGAGAGGGTGCAGAGAGGGAGTTTTGTTTTGATGGACAGAAGCGACCTGAACGTGAGCCCAGGCAGAGATGAAGTGCTGGCCGGGTGGGTGGTTAGCGACACACGCGTGACGGCCTCTCGGGGCTGAGCCTGACTGTTTCATAAGGAAGAGCTCACTCCGGGAGCCGGTCCATCGCTGTCCCCATGCTGCAGGTAGGCACACGCAGGCCCAGACCTCAGTCAGAGCTGGAGGCACGGAGCTGAGCTTCGAGGGGCGTGCCTGCTGCTGCCGCTGCACGTAAGAGAGGGCGCGAGGAGCAGGGCAGAGGCCTTCGGACATGCAAGGAGGAGGGATGGTGTCCCGGGGCCTCACCCAGGAGGAGGAAGGAGGTGGCAACGCTCCTGCTAAGAGACCAGAGGTCAGCACAGGAGGGG